AATGATGAGGGGGAAAATGCTGGAGACCATCTATGAGAAACCAAGATGGTATGGGACATTTGGGAAACTAATTCATGCCTTTCACTGCTCGATGGGAGCATTAGTGTAGCCAGACACAGAACATGGATAGATACTCGCTTACAACCCTGGCTGTTTGGGCTGACACTGCCTCAGCAGTTCTGCTGATGGAAGGAGGTGTATGAACTCTTATGACTCTAGACAATGGCAGCTGAGTTAGATGGAAGCACCTTCATCAACTGTGTAATCAAATTCAACTGAAATGCCTGCCTTTGGCTTTAAGTTGAGTTTACTCACCCTCTTTTGAACTCTCACACACTTCTGAACTTTCAGGTGTTTTGGTGTCGCCTGGTCTTAAACTTTGCTGGTCTTTAACACCACCACAATTCACCTTGAGGTCCAGACGGTTCACGTTTCACCGAATCACATCGGGGTCACCAATTGCCGCGGACCGCTGGTATCTCATTCTTCAGGAATCACAACCCAGAAGGTTGTTGTGATTCCCCTCGTATATCAGAAGGCTTTGTTTCGCTCCAAAGGTCTATACCGCAATCAAAGGCTTCTAACAGAGAGCTTCAAGACACAGCTCTCCAGGGGCTCCTACCACTCCACTCTCCAGGAGGGAACTGCCCCACTCCCTCTTGGGAGTGCCCCGCCTTTAACCATCCATGAGTCACGTGGTCTCCGGCTGACCAACGTGACTCACAGCACCTGTCCTGACGAGGCACAGGTGCTTTCTATTGTAGTAGCCCATGTAGCAGCCAGAAAACTTCCGCAACATTTTGGTATTATTTTGTCATTACCAGCTAAGCTGGCCACTCATGACCTCTTGGATTTGGGCTTTGTTGTTTGAATTCACACCTTTGTGAATAGACTAAAGAAATTTAACTATATTTTGAGGAGAAAATGAAATACTGCTTGAAAATTTGAAATAATCACTGATGAATCTCATGTGTTTGTGTCAATCTGTGGTTTACAGTTCTGTTTTTTTCATGAATGATATTGATAATCTTATAAATTAAAAAGATTCCACCAGTATCATGCAAGTTATTGAACTCATGTACACAGCTGTGTGGAAAATGTAAGATATGATAAATATGCATTTCTCCTTTGATATATTATTTATTTGATATTATTTTCAGCGGTTACTATTTCCTAGCATTTCACAAAAAGCGGTAGTCTAAACCACCTAACAGTTTTATCCAAAGTCTACTGGAACAAGTTGAGAAACCACAGTGTAGGAGTCACAATGACTCTCAAGTTTTTATATGAGTACTAAATATAAAAATTCTGTATTCGTATCATTTCAATAAGCCAAATTAATTTACATGAATGTTGGAAGTTATTAAATATGTGTCTAGAGCTAATATGAGTTCACTCTTGTAATATGGTTATACTATCCCTGGAACAAAGAAAATGCAAAGTTAAAGCTGCAGTGAATTCTGTAATACTTGTCAGTTTACCACTCAGGAATGAAACAAAGGTGCTTAACGTGTGAATGCGCTTAGCGTTCAAATCCTGCATATTAAACATAACTTGTTCTTGAGTAGTACTCAACTGAATTCCAAACATTCTTTAAAAAAGTATTTTCATTGAGAGATCAACTATGTAAGCAGATTTTCAAAACTGACTTGGTGTTGTGATTTCTAATGGTATTTAAGAATTGTCAGTTCTCCTAGTTAATAAACCTCTACAAAGTACTTCAAAAATTAGCATGTTATTTATGTGTATTCAAAAAAATTTCTGATTGCTTCAGACAATTTGATAAAATTTTTAGCTAATTTAGAAAAAAACATTCAGATTTAATATAAAAAGTCCAGCAATCACTGCCATGGAACAATTTCACACTGAGTAAGTCATTGGGAGAGTGTCTCCATTCAGAATAACTTGTGAATCTCACAGTCTCTACAAGAAGAGAAATGATCAGGATCTAAAAAATACTGGTTCCCAGCAGACCTATGGTTGGTGTCCTGGCGACCTGCCTGAAAAATTCCAGAGTTCTTCAAGATCCATGGGTCCATATCTGTAAAAACATGTTTTCTTGTCTACGAAAAGCAATTTTCTTAAATAACTCCTAATTTTCTTTCATTATTTTCTGTCTCAAGTCAGTAATTTTACTCACAATTTTCCTCTTTTTTCACTCACTTTTTCCTTCTTTTTGTTGGCCAAGTGGACCCAAACTTAATGACTGAGTACTGGATGTTGGCCCCAAAAGAAAAAAAAATTGTCTGCACAAACTTTTTATGCAAGATAAAATGTAAAAAAAAATGTTACTCTTATTGCCTTAGAATGCAATAAGAATGCAAATCTTTTTGTGGATCTGGACTTGGACTCTTTTTACAGCTGTTTTCACATGAACATAGAGAAATATGTAAGATAATGATCAATGTTGTAAGGTTGGTTATGTAGTCATAGAAACTGAGAAAAGCCTGAACTGTTCTTTACTAAACTTCTGCATATTTTACGATTGTTTCAGATATGTAAAATTATTAAAGTAAAATTAATATTTAGGTAATCATCTGGAAACCGTAGAAACATACTTTAGCCTTACTTCTCTTTAAGTGCCTTCAATGGGTTTACTTAAATAATGTTATATTACCTTTTGTAGGTAATAAAGATAATGGTATACATGATCATATACGATATACATGTTAAAACCATTAGGTTATCTGGTCTATCCTGACAACAGCACAGTTTCCTTCCTTAAAACATATTCTTCTATTTCTGATGCAACTATTGCATCTAACTGGGTCACTGAATCTTTATACTGCTAAACCAGGCACACTATGAAGTACCAATTCAGAGTTCAGTAATGTGGTTAAAAAATCACTGGGGAACAGGTCAAAACCAGCAAGGTTATTTTTACTTTCAACTTAATTCATGTTTGAAGTGCAGTTGTGGTAATCTTGTTATTGGAAAACACTACGTCGAAGTAATTAAAAACCAGGCACTGGGGGCTATATCCTGCCACCACTCTGCATCTGAAACCCACACAAACAGCAGTTAGAAAGCTGCTTGTGGAACAGTGGCAGACTGTGACTCTTCACTTTCAATTTTACTTAATACTACATAATGGCAAACTTTCCCTTTAGACACATATACATACCTCCTTCTAAAGAACACCAGACTCATATTCAAAGAAGCTTGCTCTTTGAATTACGTTTTTTTTTATCTTTTAAGTCTTTAACTTATTTTTTTTAACTTACTTTTTTTTTTTCTTATTCTTCTTTCCTCCCCCTACCCCTCAAGCTATCTAGCAGCATTTTGGATATATATAACAGTGACCAGGGAATGGCAGCAGCTAATATGGGTCTCACAAATGCTTCTTGCCCAGCTAATCTACCAGTAAAAAGGGAAGTCACAGGTAAAGAACTCTGAGATTTTAGTATTTTATAATTTCAGAAGTGATAGTGTTTCTCTTAAAAGTTTAATAAATCTTACTCAAGAAATAGATGTCCATAACTAAATTCCTGAGAATTTTGCAGTTTGTAGTTTCATTTAAGGAAAAGAACAAAGACTAAGGAGAAATGTTTTCTTTCTGTTCTCCTCTTCAGCAACTCAGAAACCATGTTTTTTTATGAACACCATACTTCTAATAAATCTAATTATTTTAGGAAACATAGTGGATTTTTCTACATGTTGGCTTTGGATCAATGGTATAAATAAATTATCATCCATTAAATTTGTTCCAGAGTAGAACAAATGGTTCTTTTAAAACCTTACAATAAGGCTATTCAAGGTAAATCTATATTAGTGGATTAACAACTTTAAAAGTTACATTCAATTAATCCAAAGAATGCTAACAACCATGTACAGTTTATTAGTGTCACTCAGAGGAAACAGTGAGTTTGTTCAATAACTTACAAATCTGATTAACTCTTGCATTATGGGATATACAAATCCATATTCACATTAGTGTATTGTAAGTTTTATCCTGATGTGAAATACATCAAATTGGAGAAAAATACTCCTCCATATCATGTCTACGTTCTTACATAAAAAAGTGCAATAAAAAAATCTGAAGTAACTTGCCAGACTTGCTTAAATAAACAAAATATTAATAACAGGATAATAAGAAAATCTTATTATTTTAATAACAAAATATTTATTTTAATATTATTATTTCAAAAACATTATTGATATTATTATTATTGTTTTTAATAATAAAAAGAGTAATGAAGTAAAAAGACCAGAAAGTTGCTCTTGGTGACAAGAGGCCATTCTGAAAAGATGAAAGAAGTATTGGAACTGCGACTTAAAGACCGTTTTAATAAATGTTACTTTCTGTCAGAAGCAGATACACGCGCAATGGCAAAGGAGAGACAAAAAAAGGATAACCACAATCTCAGTAAGTATATGTTCATCTTCCTTCTTATTAAATGGAATGTATAGGGAATGCAGAAATAATATACATTAGCTACCATGTCTCTGCTCTTCTAGATCAGCATCTTACCAAGGTAATCAAATTGAACTCAGTCTGCAAACACAGCCAACCACACAGCTTTCTTCCTTGAAATTAATTTCAGTCTTTGACTTTTGTCTTTCAAAATACTTAGCATGTTATAATGGATTTCTTTCCATATTTCTTTCAATTTTCTTTCCTGCTACTATGTTTTTATTCTACAGTCGTGTATGTATCCTGCATACTTTACTTGATGTTGTCTCTAAGAATTACAGTGCAAAACAGACAAGAAAGGAGACAGATGATGAAAAAAACAGCAGTAAAAATCCAAAGTCTTCACACCTTACGTACTGCAGCACTCAAGTGAGAGGCTGTATCTATCTATGGGTGATGGGAAACTATAAAAAAATGCTAGATAATGCTAATTAAGCATTTCAAGTTATGGAAATTGTATGTCACAAAAGGAGATCAGGGCAGGACTGAGTGAGACTCATGACGCTCTGACTCTGCTCTGATACACAAGCCCCCTGACCTCTGCAGGCTGGGATGCACTTCTGTTTCCTTTACGAAGAACAGTGCAGCCATGTACAGACATAGGCATTTCAGTTCTAGAGGAAGAGTCTTCTGTGGTTCAGGCTTAGAACATAGTGAAATTCATAATTCAGTGTCTAAATATTAAACATAGAAATAAACAACATTTTAATTTATCCAGAATAGAAAAAAAAAAAGTTTTATTGCTAAAAGAGGATTGTCCATAAAATTAGGCATTTTTTCCCTCTAAAGAGTAGTTTGAAACTAAAAACCTGAAGGATTATGTTTGGAAAGTGTTGAATAAAGCAATTACATTTTCCAGTTCTCCTTTCCATTTTTTCCAGCAGAAGTAGTCTGGGAGTTGAACTCGATGACCCTTATGAGTCCCTTCCATATTCTATGATTTTACGAATTTAAACCTAAATTGGCAATTAGTTAATAGCCACTATTTACATCTTTGTTCTTTTATTTATATCTTTGTTCTCTGGCTATTGCATTAATCTTAGAGGGATTTATGGCTTTACTTGCATGAAATTACATACCTGGAGCTATACATCCACTGATAAAATGTGCTAGCAACCACTGTGGATGACTTTCTGCTACTTCCAGAAAGCATCCTTATTTCTGTCTGTATGTTTTTGTGGATTACAGATAGACTATGTAGATTTTCAGGCCTGTTGCTAGCACATCTTCTCTGAAGTGCAGAGAAGAGCAGCTGCTGCTTGTCTTGTTTGGGCTGGAATGAGGAGTTTTTGCCAGACTAGGAAATGTGGCAGGTGGAATTGTCCAGAACTGTGAGATGGCAAAAGACAAGCACATGCATGCGTTAGGGATGCCAGAACATACTGTTGCCTCCATTGTTTATTTTAGCTTTGAGATTGTCCTTCCTGAACACAGAAGACATGTTGGAGAACTGTTTTTCACCACCAGAAACTGAGCTGAAGGCTGTATGTCAGGATGATGACACACAGACATGCAACATCTTTTCTAGTTTGGCTATAGGTGTATACTTCAGCGAACAAACTCTCTCTGAAGATATCTGTACTATCTGATGGCTTGGACATATTAATGCATTACATAAAAGACTTTATTAATGCTCTTTTACAAGCACCATTTTTTTTAGAGATGGTCTGAAAAAACAGTTTTCGAAACCTGACTTTTGCAAACACTCATGTTTCAGGTTGAATTAATGTCCACATTTTTACAGAAATGTTCTAGTACCTCCTCATACCAAGAAGGAATTAGAAAAACGTGACTTTTGAAAGACTGGATCCTCAATGAAACCATGTGAAGAGATTCAGATCTGAGAAATAGAACCTCTTCTTCCTGTAGCAGCAAGAGTTCAAACCATTACTAAATGTATTTTGGTTTTGGTTTTGTTATTGTTTTTTTTTCAAAGAATTAAGGGTGTAATGTTTGTTTTCTACATGATCATCCTGTCTATGCTGTTTAATTTTCTGGTTGGCTTTCGTATAATTTAGTACTTGAAATATTACTGATAACTCAGGATACCACTGGAACTGCAACAGTCATAAATCAGGAGAATTCTATTGAAACATGTTTCCAAGCTTCAAAATTTCCCCCTAACTCACTAGCATAAACTATTGGAGTTGATTTTCAGGAAAAAAAATACAAAAAAGAAAAGAAAAGAGAATGATATTTTAAGTGTCCACTTGTAAAGAATTTTTTTTTTTTTCCTTATTTTATAGCCAATGTTTAGTTGGCTACTTTTTGATGAGTCCATTGCAGAGATTTTCCACATTATAAATATTAATTAAATAACAGTTATTATGACATATGACTGTATAGTTAATGCATATTCAATAACTCTTTTTGCTCTGCCAATATTTTGCCAATATAACTGAAATACATCTTTTAAATTGCTTGGTTGCTATGTGCGTACATTCACTGTCTTCTCCTATACATTCATGCCAATGGGATGCAAGGGGTCACTTAACAGTACACTCAGGAGGATTATAACCTTGTCTCCTGAATATGTGAATCATGACTACAAAACCTGAAATTCTTTAATCTGTTGAATGAAATTCCTGTTTCTAGAGAGAGTAAGACAATATAATATGTCTCACCAAGGCAGAGCATTTCACTAGGGTATTTAATAACACCTAGGGAGTTCCCTGACTGGAGTTGGCTAGGGAGGAAATAGCTGACTGAGGAACAAACCTAAGAACCTCACATAGACAGGAAGAAAAAATCTATTTATGTATTGGTGAAAGTAAGAAACTAAAAGTGATCTGTGTTGTGAGGAGACTGAAAGTGATATGCTTATATGACTGTGAGAAGGTTAAATTCAACATAAGAAGACCCATCAGGCTTCCCTTGGCTGCACACTTCTAATTTAGCTCTACCAGGCTCTAAGAACTGGCTATCTGTATTTATATTCAAAATTAGGACATCAAACTTTAAGTGCATGTCTCCATAAGTGGTGAGGGGAGCATGTATTCATGTTGTAGGCTGCGTTACATGGGTGAGCTCTGGTCTGTCAGAATATAGTAGCATTAGCACATCAAGCCCAAGGTACAGTCTTCCAAGAAGCAAAGGATAACAGAAATAACTTGATGCAATGCTAGTAATGTACCAAAGCTGAATCCTGTCCATTCAGTGAGGTTTGGATTGAGTCAAAGTACAACGTGGAGGGAGTGGACAGAAGTGCAACTTCACGCCAGTAGCACATCACTGCTGGTTGCTGACAGATAGCAGTACCACAATGGAACTCCTACAGTATTCATCCTTCTTCCTCCTCAAAACATTTTCTTTTTGCTGGTAGAAAAAGAACTTTCTGCCATTCATACAGGATTTCCACATTGTCTTTCAGTCTTATCATAACTAGGCTACCTAGGAGATGGGTATACACAAGAAATCCCCCAAAGCGATGAGATGACGTTTGGCCCTGCTCACTAGAAAATGTGAGATTTCTGCATGTAAAAGAAGCTGGAGAAAAAAATAGTCAAATAGTGAGGGAGAATTCTCTCTGAACTAGTGAAATGGGAAGTAAGAAGGTGAGACCCTTTCTACAGAGAAGGGGCACACACATCAGTCTGGATACCAGTCCAGTGCTGGTAAAGTGGACTGAGAGCACAGAGAGGGGGAACTAATTTCAAGAGGCTTGTCTTCAATTTTTCTTTCTAACTAAACTGCGAATAAAACAAAATACCATACATAGTTTGTCTTACGAGAAGCATAAATTTAAATACAGAAAATATTTTATTATTTAAATGTGGTTTTTCTTCATTTTCTGTGTGTTGTAAAAGTTACTATAAGTGCACTTGTGCTGTCCGTCATTGGAGGAAGCAGTTGTGCTGAGGATGAAGTGTTTCTGGTACATAGTCTGTCTCAGTTTCAGTGAAGGGATCTGCTTGCGGTTATGTCCTCTCTGTGATTTGAAGTAGATAAGGGATAACAAAGTTGTTAACCGTAATCTGTAGCAGGTGTTACGGCAAAAATATGAAATGTTTGTCTTATGTTTGTCTTATCAGTTGTCTTATGTCAAATGTTGCTGTTGAGATCATCAGCAAACTCCACTGAGCTGAAAACTTTGTAGTGTAGGAGCATGGTGGAGAAAGGATGCATAAACATTATTAAAAAAAGAAATATTAGCTCACATTTAGACAATATGTGGCTATTTCATTCTCTCGGAATTTAGTTGTAAATAGGAGAGAAACCTACAGGTACGGTAAGATACAGAGATGGTGCTAATTACGGAATTTGTCCTGAAAGTAAGTCAGAGGCAGGTAAGAGATCATGTTGGGACTTCTATTGGAGGAAGAAATTTTCTGTACACTGATTGACTTATTTTTAACAAATGAAAATGTTTTATGTTGAATTTCTCCAAGAATATTTCACCATAAAAATAGTAACCCTTTCTTTTTAACAGTTGAGAGAAGAAGAAGGTATAATATTAATTACCGAATCAAGGAGCTTGGCACACTCATCCCCAAGTCTAATGATCCGTGAGTTCAATGGTCTTTCCTATAATAATGTTTATGGTTTAAACGCAGGGGAAAAAAAAAAACAATTGCATATACTGCCAATAGGATTGAGTAATGGGATACAAAATCTTCCATGCCAGGTCACTGGCTCAGATGGCTCAGATCAGACCGTCAAAGTAACAAACCTTTGACAGATTTTTGGTGCCTGTTGGGAAAATTTATGTGAAAGGATAATAAAATGAAAGCAATTCCAGGGTGGTTAAGAGAGCTTGCCACTTCAGGGGAAAAAAAGGAAACAAAAAGAAAAACAAATAAAAAACAAACAAAATCTTTTTGGTAAAGAAGAAGAAAGTCCCTGTGAGCAATTGTGTGGTGTCTCTGAAGGAAGGACAGATGCTTTCAGACCTTTCCATGGGCCCTCTAGTGGGATAAGACAAAATGCACGTTGTTACTGTCTGCCCTCTGCCTAAGGAAAAAAAATCAGCTTAAGAGTCTGTAGACTGAGCATTTTTCTAAAGTCCTCCACTCAGTACAGGGAAAACAACAGTTCTAAAATGCAAGGATAAAAATAATAATTGCTATAATTGCTATAATAACAGCATTTTATACTAATGTATATACTTACAGTGACACAAAATGCATATTGCTTAAATTTCTTGCATTCCCTTGAAGCTTATATTTGTCATCAACATGAAAAAAAGCTGCCTCGGTAGGAAAGCCTATTGCAGGATTAGCAATAACAATTCAGTGTGATATTTAATGCTGAACTTTAGTGTTAGATTTCTCATGTCGCTCAGGGAAGCCTTAAGACCATGCACTAGCGTGATTGTGACTCTCATAAAATTGATTATACAGATTTTGTCTTTATCATTTGCATGTCAATACAGACCTGCATGATACTTCAAATGAAAACATCTATTGATATTTCAGCCTTTTTTTTTTCCTTAGGCTTAAGAAACTTTTGATTCTATTAAAGATTTCTATAACAATATAAAGCTGTGTGAAACCTACATAAGCACAAGCTTGGCATAACAAGCCACTTGGAGTGAAATCACCAGACAGAAAGTTAACATACTGCATCTATTTCAGAGAATTCACTGACTCGGCTCCTTCTACTGCATCCATCCAAGATTAGACAAATGAGCATGTTCTTGTTATTAATATAGAATTAGGTATTACAGCTGAGTTAAAGTAAGAAGTGCTTTAAGTATCTAAATAAAGTTTTGGCCAAATGCAATCCATTACAAACTTAGACTGGTAGAAGAGTTTCAATTTTGCTGGTGCATCTTTCACTATTCAAGACCATTTGGGCAAATAATTGAAAGATTTCTCAGAAAAACAGTGGATGGCACTGTTGGTTTGCAGCTATAAAGCAATAACGGAAGCAAGCTATGCTGCAATTAGAAATGGGAATGAGGTACAAATTCTAGTTGTGATTTTTGATTGCCTGCAGAGGTGTTTCCATTACATGTTTTGGTCTGGATTCAGGTTTAGTTTATGAAGTTATTGAAAACATTAATACCTGGAGCAATCACTTAAGCTCTTCTTAAAATGAATGATTTGGACCTGTAATTTTGCTCCAGTAAGTGGATGATGGATTTTACCCACAGATTTTAGTGTTGTTGCCTGATGAAAAAGTTTCAGGTATAGATCCTGAAGACTTCACCTTTTCTTGCTTTAGTCTGCAAACCCATGACTGAGTTCAACAGTGGGACAGTCCCAAAGTGGCTTATGTTTACAAAAGCATGAGGTGAACTTAAGCGTCTCAGGTTCTGAGGACTACTGTCTTCAAAAGGCTGGTAATCAGTACTCCTTTTGAAAATAGGTTTATTTAAAAGCTTTCAATTTCGTGTTAAGGAAAAAGAGGCATCAAACTGTGCGAGACGCTTTTGAAAAACTAAATTACAATATAATTTTGCTATAGCTTGGTGCCAGCTTAAATTAAGTCAAAGAAGTGTAAAAACTTTTCTTTTTTTTTTTTTTTCTGTATTTGTAGGTGGAAATACATTAATTTGACCATGTTGTTTTGTTGGTTGAGCAGATCAAAATTATTGTTTCTTTCTGGTATGGTCCTGTGTCGCCAAATCATAACTCGGTGTCCTTACCCTCTCTTTAAGTTCTTGCTTTTTCCTTCATTACTCCTTACTGTGCCCCCAATCTGCCCTCTTCTTCTTTGAAAGAAAGAGATGTATCATCTCTTACAATACTTTATCTGTATCATTTTATCACACATAGCATTTTCACCTCATATATTGATTTCAGAATATTCTTCTTACAGTGGGAACTTAGCTGTAAAAGGAGAAACCTTACTGATGCTTGGACTAATGACAGTGAAGCAAATCAGCCTTTGCATTGAAGAGCAAATACTAGTATAACTAAGCCATTGTGGTTAGCATGCCTGTCCCAGATGGCTTGCTTCAAGAAGATTACATTTAGACTCAGGAACAGAAAAGGACATTTTTGATGCTATTTGGAAACCTTTTATGATTTATATTTCTTAGAAGTGGTGTGTGGGGTTTTTATTTCACTTTTGTTTTGTTAGTTATATAGTGAACTTGTTTGGCTCCTGCAGAGCTTCCGCAGGGACTTTCTTTTGACTGGCTTAAATCCCTATTCTTTTCACCTTCTTTTTTTTTAATTTAATGATGAAAAGTGTGGATTACATTGCTTAAATGAATGGGTGTTTTAAGTTCACTTCATCAGCATCAGAAAATAGAGATAAGTATAAGTTGCAAAGAACTTTGACTCTTTTGTTTAATTTTCAATGCTTAGATATCCGAGTGGTAGATGATTCAGAAATGCAAAACAGTTACACAGCATAATTCAAAAATAGAATTAAAAAAGGCCCCAAATACCCAGTCATATTTTGCTGAAAAACTGATAACCTGGTCCTTTAAATATACCTACCTTTCCATTCATAGTTATTTGTGTTCTGCCTTTCAGAACCCAGCTCTTGGTGATTAACAGGACTTCATGTTGTGGTAGAGTCTAGAAACGCCTACGCAAGAACTGTTATATGGTAGCCGGACAAGAACTGTGAGAAATGCTAAGGGAAAAAAAATATATTTCCTTTAAGAATTCTGGTTGTTCTACAGAATCAGGATGTTAAGAGATCTACCGAGGATTTAGCAAGAAGTAGTGGGTTGCTCTCACTCTCTCTTCGCTCTCTGCATCTGCCTGTGCCTGACCTTCTGTCTGCTGTCTGGATAGACCCGCTAACAGCCAGCCACGTTTCTTGTAAAGGAAAAGCTTGTGTACACTCATGCTATTATAAAATGGAAACTTGCTGCCCCTTTCAGAAGAATACACTTTGTAATTGTGCAGGTCATCAAAACAAGTACAAAGTCCTTCAAAGTTCTTCTTTGAGCAAGCATGGTTTAAAGCTAATTTCTGAGAAATAGGG